GTTTATTGCATTGAGAGCAGGTGAAGTCGTAAACATAAAGGTGCCGCTCCAGTCATTTTTATGTGAAGGTCATACACACGTTTCTCAGACTGCAGAAAAAGACTGGGGTGGGGCTAACATTTTGAGCCACGTAATCAATACCATTCAAATATGGATAATGATTCTTTATTAACTGCTCTGGGAATTATAGGAGATGGAGCGGGCTTTGTGTTATTGGTTTGTATGCAGTTTAAATACTTGGATTTCTATTATCACACTCACCAATACAAATAATCTTGAGTTTCTGTTTGGCTTCTTCTGTTGCTGTAATCGAGGTTCTCTGCCATTTTAACCTCCTAGGACCCGAACTCTTGCATGGCATGCTTTATTGATTTCTCTTTGTTATTTGGCCTGATTGGGACCTGATGAGTGCAAAAACAAAGAACTATATTTTTGCATGATGTAGTTTCTGAGATGGAACACTGTAAAGTCACAATTGAATAATGATTTGCAAAAACTATATATTAAGTGCCTGAACAACCCAAAATGTGTTGCAAATAGGTTGATGCCAGGTCCTAGGAGGTTACACTATATTTGCTTTAATTACAAAAATTACTGGGTAGCAGGTTTAAATATGACATTATACTTCAGCTTAGGCATGATCAGGTCCAGGTTTAGCCCATAGACTGTATAAAGAAGTAGACTAAGTGAGTGTGACATCAACCATAACATTCAGCTCCAGTCAGACGAAGCTCATTGAGGCTGAGAGTTACAGGAGAAAATTTGGCGCGATTTCCATATTAGGAATAGGAATTTATATAAGGTTAAAAAAAAGCTAAATAAAAACATCAGGAGATATAGAGTAAACATTTTAAGACCAAAATGAAAAGGCTCATAGCAGCAGTTACAGAGTGACAATTACAGTGGCAGTTTTTCAGTGTAAAGTCAATTGGAGTTGGAACTGATGTGAGTGAGACTTGCAAAAAAAAAAGTCAAACTGGGAAAGAAAATGTCAAATTTGTATTAAAATCTTGAATATAATGATCCTAAGTGTGTTTTGGTAAAATGAGTATGTCTGGTATATTAAGCTTTGGCAATAACTTTAAAAAATCAGTTCCAGCCTATGATCTTATTTTTATTCTGGGGTACCTTTGCCTGTAAATACATTCATTTTATCTCCAAGTGAATCAGAACACTTGTAACACCACACCATTGTTTTAAACTAGATTTTTTTATTTAATAAGTGAATAAAATGCCCAGTGTTTGTGCTTTACATTGTTTCCAACCATCACTGGAGGTCCGATAATAAAAACGAAAAAAAGAGGAAGAACTGAAAGCAGGAAGCTCCCAAAAAAAACTTCATCCTGATCCGCTGTTATTGTCCACACGTTTGTAGAAATGATCCAAAATTGAACCAGCAGTTTTTAAACAAGGCCTCTTGCCGCAAAATAGTTTTCAGTTTTTCAGTCATTAAAAAAGGCTTGTAGAGATGGTCCCACGCAAGCAGTGGTGAGTGACACTGTGTAGCATTGTTGTTTAGTCTCTGCTTTGTGTCGTAGTAAAGCATGTGTCAATGATAGCATCTTTTTTGCCTTTATTTCATTGTTCGTACAAAAAGAAGAAAGAGGTTCTACATACAAGGCATTTTCTACCTGAATCTAAACTCTCTCGTTGTGCTACTATCTTTGAAAAAAGTTAGATATACTTGTCAAGAGGAAGTGCTTTATATAAGAATAGTAAACTAGCTTGTGGCTATATAGGCTACAGTAGTTCATAGGAGAATCTAAGTGTTCGGTGTGCGCTCTGGTGCTGAACATCTGACCAAGTATTTCCCTGCTCACTCTCAAAGTCAGCTGTGAAAATAAAACAAAAACATGCAGATAACAAATAATCATGACCAGGATCCATTCACTTTCAATGCATTTCCAAAATTGTATGCTTTTTTTTGGACTCCTAAATTAAGATTGTACTGAAATTTGCAGCAAAGTAAGAGCAAAATAAGTTAAGTTGGTCGTGCCTTCTGACTATGAAGCCTCTGTTTGAATTTTGAAGAAGTACAGGTTAAAGATTAAGCAATTTTATGAGAGTTTTGCAACAAATTATGCTCTTATAAAAAACAGTGGTGGAATGTAAACAGTGGTGGAATGTAACAAAGTAAAAGTAACAAATTAAAGTACTTAAGTAAAAATCTTAGGTATCTGAACTTTACTTAAGCACATTTTACAGTGGATACTTTTTACTTTTACTTCACTACATTTGAGAAAGTATATCTGTACTTTCTACTCCACTACATTTTTGAACAGGACTAAAAAGTAAAAGTATTTTTAATATTGTTTGAGATCTGCTAAAAAGACTAGAGGGTTTATTTTTAACACATTTGAAAAATAAACAGCAAGGAAAAAACTTATCGATTGAACAAAATTCATCTCAAAATGTCAAAATCACTACATCTGATGCCTTATTATGCGTGAAATACTTTTACTTTTTACGCACATATTTAAACTACTTAAATGGTAGTAGTACTTAAATACTTTCACATAAGTAGATTTTTTTCATGTGATACTTTTTGTTGAGTATTTTTATTGCTCTGGTATCTGCACTTTTACTTAAGTAACAAAACTGAGTACTTCATCCACCACTGACAAATACTGAGTCATATTGGGCTATTTTTGAACAACGTTAGTCATGATAAAACAAACTGCATGTGGTTGCATTTAGAGCAGATACAAGACAAGACAACACAGCCTTTCTTATTCTTCCTCTTGCCCATGTTTCAGCACCAGAGCCCTAAGTAATACCTTCTACTCTCTACAATATATTAGTAATAATACAAGGCAGGCAGTGCATAAACCATGTACAAAAGTTGCCCCGCCCCCAACCCGAAAAAGAGCCCTCGTGTGTGTGGAACTGCTACCCTCCACAGTATCTGCAAACATTTAGAAACATACACTTTACACAGGGGTCAATATAACAAAATAAATCAGCAGAATACAGCTTTAAGTGGCCACAATCGTCCCACATTGAGAGCTCCGAAACCCACCCTCCAATATTAACACTATTAGGTTGGTTTTGCCTTCACACTGCCAAAAGTAATATCTAGGTAAGTTCAAATGGCTCAAATTAAGAGCATTTAACTTGATTTCTGTAGATTTCACTTGACAAATACAATGATCTACCACTGGATGAAGATATTTTGATCTCTCTCAATATTTAGTTTCCAATTTTAAGTGCAAAGAGTTGTTGTTTTTCTTATCTTTTGAGTAGCAAGATGTATTTTCCTGTTTTGTTTTCATAAAATTCCTGCATATTTACTTATTGTGTTATTGTCCCAAACACTCTGTTCCACTTTGTGATGTCATGTGGCAATACAGGAAGTGCTCCACTGTGTTTTTAAACTCTATACACCTTCACTAGAATCATTTGGAGGTATGAAAAGCTGCACTGGTAGATCGTTTTACATGTCATGTGAAATCTATTCAAATCAAGGTAACATTTTCTTAATAATGAGCAATTTAAACTTTTAGATTTTAGTTTTTGCAGTGTACTCCCTGAAGTTCCTCAAGACTACACACAATAGAGTACCCGCAGTTGTTACAAGCATTTTGACTGTCCAAAAATATCATGCATTATTGCTCTTATTGTAAATGAACAAAACATAATACCCCATAATTTGCTTATATTCTAATCCGCCTATTCGAGATTTTGGCAAAATATCCCTTAACTAACTTGCAATTGGCATAGATTCCATTATAGGCTATTGTATTTTTTGCATGCAGTAGTTTTGTAGATTTAAAGTGGCAGAAAACCATAAAATGAAATAAGTTTTAGTCAGTCATAACAAAGTGACAATGCTTTGGCATATTCGAAATTCATAAAACCGTAACTGAGTAAGCAATGCAACAAAATTATAAAGTGCTGAAATCAGAAAATATAAATACAAAATATAAATAAAGTATTAAAAAAACTCCTGTATAAATAAATACATACATAAATAAATAATAAAAAACACAACTGAGTAAGCAGCATAACATTATAAGATGCTGAAATCAGAAAATATAAATGTAAGGTATAAATAATGCATTTAAAAAACCCAATATAAATAAAATAAATAAATAATAAAACACAACTGAGTAAGCCATACAACATCATTATACGAAAATTTAAAAAAGTATAAATAAAATACTTTTTTTTAAAATCCAGCATAAATAAATAAATAAATAAAAATAAATAAATAAATAAACAGTGTACACAACTTGATTTGGAATACTGAGGCAAATAAATTTAATTAAACTTGCAAAGGTTTGACCTTTTCATTTTAAATGTCTGGTAGCATTAAGTTGGCTTGTGTTGGAAATACTGAAAGAGGAGAATACTGGAGGCAGAAATAAAACTAAGATAAGATAATACTTGACTGGCTGCCTCTGTGTTATGGTCTGAAAGTCTACAGTTGGTTGTGTTCATCAACAATAGAACCAGGAAGCTAAAAATATGTGCTTTCTTAAACTTATAATTGTCCTCATGTCCAAATTGTCTACTTCACTCTGTCTCCTACAACATTATGAAGGTTTGTCCATATAAAAGAGTCAGATTAAATATCAAAGTTTATCGAATCTCTTTGCAGGTTTTCATGCTTTGAACAGTTGCAATCTTCCTGTCACAAAAAGACAGAGTATGGGGACTTGTGCTTTTGAGTGTTTATCTTGTGGTCAAAAGAAAATGTCAAAACGTGAGAATAAATAGATCTTTAAAAAAAAGAAAAAAAAAAAAAAACCTCAGATACGCTGTGCTTTGTTGTCTCCGAAAAGGAACGCATCTTATCGCAAAGCAGGTGACAATCTAATTCAGGCATCAGATGTTTTCACAGAACTTCCAAGGAGCAGTTGATCAAGAAAAAAAACTTTAATCTATTTTCGTCTTTCTGTTGCTTCATGATCCTCGCTCGGATTCAGAGCCCCTGTATTTCTTCACAGGAACAAACCAACACGGATTTCAATTTCATCCCAGTAACAGTATCAAATTGGTCATTCGCTGAGATTGCTAATAGGGGAAAATGCGCCTTTGAAACATGCAGATTCGTAATGCTTGTTCAGGTAACTTTTCAGGGCGAAAGTCTTGTCACATCTTTTGCACTTGTAATGTTTGAAGGCGGAGTGAGTTTGCATGTGCGCGCGGAGGTTAGATCTATCCGCAAATGCTTTCCCACAGTGGGCGCATCCGAACGGTTTCTCCCCAGTATGCGACCTCATGTGGCCTTGAAGCAACCACGGACGACTGAACGCCTTTCCGCACACGTCGCATTTGTGCTTCAGGTCGTGGGTCAGTAAGTGCATCGCCATCGCCGGCATGGACACGTACACTTTGCCACAGGTCGGACATTTCTTCGCCATTTTGCTGTCTATGCTTCTGTGCGTCTGCTTGTGTCTGCTGAGGTTGGATGACGTAGGCGTACGTTTTTCCACATTCGCTACACGTGTGCCTCTGAGCTGCTCCTCTGCTCCCGCCGGACTTCCTTCTCGAGCGTCCGTCCATGATGAAAAACGCGTCAACCGTGTAACCTTCGCTGACCGCCGTATCGCCGTTGATGTACCCGCCGGCCGATGACGAAACTTCCGATCGGGGGCTGTCCGGTTGGTCGGAGTCTCCGTGGATGTCGCCATTGTAGGGGTCCTCGATGCGTCCGTAGATCAGAGCAGGGTGTTCGGGGGATTGGACTTTAGCGATGACAGAGGAGTCGTTGACAACCACGTCGTCATAGTGAGAAGGACTGAGATATCCGTAGCCTGCAGAGAAAACACAAGGTCAGTTATCGATACATCAAATTGATCGGGAATGGGAAACGAAAGGTTAGACTCTCCGCAACAGTAACAGCAACCAAAATAGAAGGGTATGGATGATCAAACTGTTCTTTCTATAGATATTTTTATTGATTTTTTTTCTCCACGCTGTTTCACTTTCGCAGCTTGGCATTTGTCTCACAGCAGCCTCTTCCAAACAACTGAACAAATATTATAACTGTCCAATTGTCCAGTTCTTCACTATCTATTGATCGCAATGTCAATATTTAACATTTGACTCTCTGTTTGTGCAGAGTAATCACAAAAATAACACTTCACATGAAACCCAATGCACCAATTAAAATTTCCTTCTGTGTTAAAAGTGCACTGGGTAACATTTCTAGTGAGTTTGCTACCTTTTCCATGGAAATCTTGTCCAGAATCTTCCACAGTACAGATTAAACCAATCTGTCACGAGGGAGACAAGCAGGTTAAAGCACTACGCTACATTACAGTTCAGATCTGTGGAGACATATTGTATTTTTGAGCAACAGAAAGACCCGTAATGAACTGGAACTGAAATTGATATGTTTAAAGTCATACTACAGAACATCTCCACAGAGACAAGCAGGTAGGTGGTGGACCCTTGTTGTTCAGTGCACCTTTACGAGCTGCTCTCTAAACATGCTTTCCAATTGTCAATTTGAAAGTTATAATCGCAATATGAAACACTTGCATTCAGGAGTTTTGAGCAAATAATTTATTCCAGATTTGAAGGACAGCGAGGACTTTTCCCCATTCAAAATATAATTATTTGATTTGAATGGAGTAATTGCTGTAACAATGGCAGACAATTACCATGGTTTAAACCCAGAATATTTGCTGACCATGTTTTATAATCTGTATTTATTTGGTCCCATCAGAGAAGAGGACGACACGAGCTTCAACTGCAAGTAATAAATGCATTTGTAACCTATTATGTGGAGGACAAGAAAAACATATAGAACCTCTGTAACACTTCATGATAACTACACTTTGATTAGCCTTAAAGGGACAGTCCAGAATTTTGGACATAGGACCTCATTTTCTAGTGAGCCAGAGTGTTGGAGACGTGTGGAGACACTTTTTAAAATATTCCATCCAGTCCTTGTATTTGCAGAGGTCGCTGGTACTCCACAAAACACCCAAAGCAAATCTATTATTACACCAGACTATCGATGTGAATGTCTGTGTTGATAGAATAATGTTTGAAATAAAACTAACCTTGCATCGCATGAATCGTTGCATGTTGAGGGACTATTTTCTCATATATCAGTCCGCCACTGCCAAGCTTTCTATCAGGAAGTACAACTCGCTGCTGCTGCTCAGATATAAATCCATCAAATGCAAGATTGGTTTTACTTCTAAAATTATTCTATCGACACAGACATTCACATTTACAATCTGGCATGTCCAAAATTCTGGACTGTCCCTTTAAATGTTCTGGGTGTAACTTTTCTAGTGGAGCATCTGCAACCTACTTGTCTCCATGGAAATATTACTGTTTTTGCCTTAATTATTCATAAAATACAGAAATAAATTTAGTAATCACAATGGAGAGAGGTTAATGGTCAGATCTGTGTGGAAGCAAGCCTGCATATGGTAAGAATTAATGTTTTTTTAAGATATTTTTGAGCTATAAACAACCTGTAAGTGAATAAATGCAAGGGAGATAAGTTAAACCAGAACCCTGTACTTTAGAAATTATATAATGCACCTTTAATATAACATGAACAAAATGCCTTTACTTGGTAGATGAGCTCTTCTGCTGTTTCCACTAGTGATGTTATGGCTACAGATAATATCATATGCACAACTTATTTTTTCACAATACTAACAAAGCCTAAAACGTCAAAACCATTTAAACCCAGTCCCACATTTTCGTGGACATGTCACTCTTAATATATTTTAGGATTAGGTCCTTGTTCTACCCTGAAGGATCTACTTGCCAAATAAAAACGCAAAGAAAAGCAGTTTCAAATGGACCTATGACAGATTGCCACAGTGGGAAACCTTTATTTTGTAACTTGCGGCTTTTCAAACACATTCACTCATAATTTGTGGTACGTTTTCTGACAGGTCGACGCCGTCTCACCTCAAGGCTTCAGCGAACTGCCATATACAGATATTCTGTTACACCTGGATGGGCTCTGTGCACTGCAGCATGCTAACAGTCACTACAATTTAAAATAAACAACCTATTAAAACCCAATTAATTAAAGTCAAGGTTACCTGATTGTTTTTATGTGTAAAACATAAGTTTGCGGTGTTGTTTCAATATTTATTATGCCTCAAAATCAGACCTGCTGACAGAAATGTGGGGGTCCGGGGCAAGAATCCTCACATGGGATCCTCTAATATAAATTAAAGGGACAGTCTGAAATTTTGGACATAGGACCTCATTTCCTAGTGAGCCAGAGTGTTGGAGATGTGTGGAGACACTTTTTTAAAAATTCTATCCAGGCCTTGTATTTGTAGAGGTCACTGGTGCTAGGCTAGTACATGTCAATGGCCATAGTTAGCCTGCCTGAGAGTAGTCTTACCCACTCCATAAAACACCCGAAGCAAATCTATTTTTACACCAGACTGTCGATGTAAATGTCTGTGTCAATAGAATAATTGTAGAGGTAAAACCAACCTTGCATTTGAAGGATTTATGTCTGAGCAACAGCAGCGAGTTGTACTTCCTGATAGAAAGCTTGGCAGTGGTGGACTGATATCACCTAACGCCTATCTTACCGGCAAAGTAAAATTCTGCTGCTGCTGAGAAAATAGTCCCTCAACATGTGACGATTCACGCGATGCAAGGTTAGTTTTATTTCAAATTTTTATTTCTATCAACACAGACATTCACATCGATAATCTGACATTATAATAGTTTTGCTTCGGGTGTTTTGTGGAGTGGGTAAGACTGTTTTTAGTGGCAGGATAACTATGGCCATTGACATGTACTAGCCTAGCACCAGCGACCTCTGCAAATGCAAGGACTGGATGGAATATTTTAAAAAGTGTCTCCACACATCTCCAACACTCTGGGAAATGAGGTCCTATGTCCAAAATTCCTGACTGGTTTTGCATTTAATTGTTTTGACATGACTTCATCATCTTACTCTAAGTCACTGAATGTTGAGGATCAAAAACGTTACTTTGAAAAGTTAAAACTCGCTAATAACTGTTGATGATGTTGATGTTGCAATGTTGTATGATGACTGTTAATGTTGTACGACAATAACTGTTGACGAGGTTGATGCTGACTTGTTGATATGGACACTTTTTGCCTACCAAAATGGCTGGTGTGACGTGTTTTCTCGTATAGGAGAAGTGTCCAATTCTGGGCCCCTAAAACCCTTGGGCCAGAGACAACAAATCCCTTTGTCCCCACTGGTCTGTTGGCATTGAGACACAAACATTTTAACTTTCAAAACACAAAAGTAGGCTATCCTCCACTCAAGTATTTATTTTATTTATGTACTTTTTAACATGTTGTCAATTACATCCACCCACAACTCCCTGTCCACAGCCGTATCTTTAAATATTAATTCATTTTAGCACAACTCAGCAAAAAAACCCATAGAAACACAACTGCACAGGAAGTAATGACGCTAACAGTGTGGCTGCCAGGCGCCGTTGTACGCCGAGCCTATTTCATTTAATAAACTTTCCCTTTCACCATAATGACTGCCTTGAACTTTTTTGTGTATACACAGCTCCTCTCTCGTCTCTTCTCTCAATTATTAGTTTCCATGTTATGATTTCTTTGTTATTATTTTATCGGCCTCCTACAGTCAACAGGCTCACAGACAATAGGAGAAGCGTGAGGAGGGGAGACGTGCTGCCTTGTGGATCTATGGCGATCAATAGCTCTCCATTTCAATTAGCACTCTCCTAGCATTTATACACAGGCCCGGGCAGGAGATACTGTTGCCCATAATATGATTTCATGACGCGGTTCTGAGAAAGTTGGTCGATAATGCAATGAAGACGTGGAGGAGAGAGCTGGGCGTGGAGGGATCAGACGGGGAGAAGAAACAGGAAGAAGTCATGTTGTGTACAGTTTAGGGCATTGCGGTTGGGCAAGTTTGACGATGTGTCTCAGGCGCTTGTGCTAATTTAATGTTTGCAATTAAATTAAAGCAGGGCAGAGAGGGAGGAAGAGGGGAAATGAAGTCGGAGGTGGGGAGAAAAACAAGCCAAAGAAAATCATGAATATTCAGTTGTTGTTTTGCATAAAAGAGTGAATAAGGCCAGCAGTGAAGTTTTGAAAAGGCCAGGCGTACTTTCTGTCAGGTTTTGTGATAATAAGTAAAAAGTTTAACTTTTTTTTTGTCTTCCCAAGCAATTACAGCCTGTTTAGTTGTTTTGTGGGTTTCAACAAAAAGAGGACAATGGAATTAACTAGAACCAAGCCCATCGACAGGAATTTGAGGGCCCATGGAGAGAAGTCTCACATTTCTAATAGAAATTAATAACAAGATGGTCCAATTCTGCGCTTCTAAAACTCTGGAGCCCGGGAAAACAGACCCTCTTGTCCTCCTACTGCTTTGAGTAGGAATGCACCGATCCGATACTAGTAACAGATATCGGCGTCAATACTGTAAGATTTGCTGGATCATATATTGGCTTCCAAATATCGGTTCAGTCGATATTCTAGTTTAGCAAATAAATTGATGTAATAAGACTATTTACTGGTTGTAGTTGGCTCAGAGGGTCTTGTAATGTTTTAATTTTTATTTATACAAAGCTGTTCTGTAGTTACATGAAAGTTAAAAGACAGCTACATAAAACATTTCAATCAACTTTGTCGTTTTTATTTTTGTAATAATGCTGTTTTCAGTTTCTGCGCTGGTATTGGTTAATATCAGAAATTGAAATTTAAAGATGCACTGTGTAACTTTTCTGTTGGAGGGTCCACTATCTGCTTGTCTCTATGGTGATGTTATTGATTTACCTGGAATGGTAAATGGTAAATGGCCACATTGTTCTATAGCACTTTTCCACCTTCAAGGCATTCAAAGCACACACGAGTGTACACAGACACTAGGGGTGAGGTGGATTAAATGTCTTGCCCAAGGACAAAATGACAATATCCATCTGTAGGAGCTGGAATCACACCGTCAACCTGTGGGTCAGTGGATCTAACTGCTCAACCAGTGATGTTTATGTCAAGAGCGGAATTCGAACCACCAACGTTCAGATCAGTGGACAAACGCTCTCTCACAGAACGGCATTAAACAAGTATATCTTACATTCATCCAATTGTAGGATTTTTTTACTTCTCAAAACTAATCACAAAAACCTGCATTATTACTGTGAGCATTAACCAGAAACTTGACCTGGTGATGTGACTGCTTGTCTCCATGGAGATAGTTAAATAAAGTGTAATCCTGTAACATTCCAGGAAAAAATTATAACATCTACACTGAGTCAAGCAGGTGGCGACCCTCTTCCACAAAAGCTACAAAGTGTACCTTAAAAGCTATAGTATCGTAATCTGTATCTGAACTGAAAAAGGTAGATACACTATATGACACTTTTATAAATCAAGGACCCACCTGCTTGTTTATATGGAATGTTCCACAGTGTGCATTATTTACTCAGTTACAGGTGTTTACATTGTTCCAAAAACACATTGATAAACATGCATTCTCAACAGAGCTGTAACGTGTTCTGGTGGTTTCAGCTGCATGTCTCTGTGGGGATAGATATGTTTAATGCCGCACTGTGACACATTCCAGAGGCAGTACATACAGTGTATCTCTAATTACGCTGGGGCAAAAAAGGTGGATGAGTGGGTAGCTCATAACAGCCTGGGTACTCACTATTACTACTACTACTACTACTATGACTACTACTACTACTACCACTACTGCTGCTGCTGCTGTTGCTACTACTACTGCTTTATAATTGTTGATTTCTAGTGATACTTTTGTCAGAAGAAGTATTACTTGGCCCCACCCAAAGCCTATAACTGAAAGAAATAATATGAAAAATAATGTAAACCTATAGGTTAATTTTATTTCAAATTTGCTTCTGAAATATTATAAACCACTAAGTTATTAAAACATTTTGCAGAATTGTAGTTGTCACGTAGCTGCTTAGTCTCCATGACCTTTGAGTTTTTAATATTTGAAGAACGAAGAAGAATGAATGGAAAATTTACTTCCAGAATCAGAGCAGGCTGTCACTATTGAGCTCAATTTATCATAGCTATAAACAGTCATATTTTGGTCTTTTTGTATTGTTGGCAACTGTTGCATGTCATAATAAAAGCAATGTATCAGTCGTATCTTGGACATCTGTTTCTGTGCATTGAAAGTGGATGTCAATTATTTAGTGCTGTAGCCTAATACCAGGAATGGCATAAAGATTTGGTTTAATTATTGCCTAAATGCTTTGTGTTTGCGTCGAGAACCATAAACTGTGTCTTTTTAATTGTGTATTTCTAAAAGGCACTTCCTCCTATCTCGTTTTGTCAACACTAACTACATTCATTTACAAGCACTCGACGAGAGGGCTGATAGCTGCTGTAAACGCCCCTATAAATGCTTATTAAACATTTAAATACCCTGCTCCAGCAACGCGCGCGTCGCCAATAATCACAAATCCAACAGCATTACGAGAAACAATGAAACTAACTAGACAGAAACCATGAAAAATGCATTTGTTTCTCCTCAAGCGGGTGAAACTGACAGTTGTGATCTATGGACACTTGTAGGTCATCCCCTCATCCACTGCCTCTCTCTCTCTCTCCCTCTGTGTGTGTGCTTGTGTGTGTGCTGTGTGTGTGTGTGTGTGTGTGTGTGTGCACTCGGCTGTAGAAAAGAGCAGCCTGGAAATGTGCCGACTTGACAGAAACGCACCGCTCCCGTGTGCGTCATGTGTGCGTGCGCGCTAAATGTATGTGCGCAACAAGCCGCTTCACTCAAACTCCTGTTAAATTGATAAGGACAGATCTGTGTCTAACCTCCGCGCGTTACGTTGCGTTGCTTTGCTGGTCTCACTGCGCTGCTGCTTGTTGTTAAGGCGCCAGGGATTTTCTGCCTCTCGCATTTGACCTTGGTACAATGTGAACGCCACCAGGTTGTGTTTACATTGAGGTGACATGACCGCGGCGGCCACTAGAGGGCAGCGGTGCGTCTAAATAAAGCTAAACAAACGGTATGACGATGGGATTGGGGAGGACGCCAACGCTAATATTTACTATTTAGTGCGTGTTTATTTGAAGTGCTTGGACGGTGAACAATATGCATAAATTAGGCCATGGTCAGCACTTTAAATACTGGATATCATCAATTTTAAACGAGGCCTCTTAAAATAAACACTACTTTAAGCAGGTGGAGTGAATCTTTGAAAAGTTCATGTGTTTTTGGAGTTTGTCATTCGTAAATAAAAACAGTGTTGAAAAATGTATAGTCTAGGCCAAAAACGGTTTGACTTTTCCAACTTTCTGTTTTGTGTGTTGCATTTTGAGCTTTAACACAACAAGCAAATACACAATAACATCATTTGAACTGATGTCTGTCAGTGTTTTCAATTCTCAAGAGTCTGTTCCTTCTTGGAATTACGTAATGTTGTGGTAGGTAAAGGCATTTTTATTGGTTCTTTTGTGGTTTCGCTTGGCCACTGGAGCAGCCTGTCCCTCTTGCAATAAAATGCACTTACAAAATGCTTTTACAAATCAATGCCTCCAGTCAAGTCCTTACACTAAGACTACAATCTCATCCCATTACGTGCTGATTAGAAATTATATGCAAAACACGTTATCATTAACTTTATATCGATGGGTAGATTTTCAAATATGACCACTAGTGCATTCAAAACTCCTCTCCTATGTCATCTTTCCCATCTCCTTCTACCGTCCATAGATCGATGCTGTGAACTGCTGAGCCATCACAAATCCACTCAGTGCCTTTAGGAAATAAAACCCGTTTGACCTCTAACCTGACACTGACGGGAAAACGCGTTCATTTCATCACATTTACAGACAAGGACTCCTGTTGAACTGCTTAACCAACATTTACACACCCTTTAATTGCACTTGTGACTAAGTCTGGATTTCTCATTTGCTTTCATCTGCTTAATCTGCTCTATATTCATTGCTTATAATCTATAGAAAGAGAAATCTCAATGCGCCAGAATATGTGCCCTCAATTTGACCCCGCAAATCCCCTTTCTCTCCAAACGCGTGAATAAAAGGTTTTTCCTCGCGTGTCACAAACCAAGGTGCTGACTAACCTTTATCGTGGTGATGGAAACGCAGACTTAGCTCCTCTCTCCGGCTGTGTCCGTACGAGCTCTCGAGTTCAGCCGCGGAAAAATCGTCCAACTTGACTTTCTTGACCAAGAAAGAGCGAGGCATTGTGGGATAGTGGCTGTGAACGCACGCACAACACGGGCACGCTGCTTTGACGTTGAGAAATGTCCGATGTTAAGTGCTAAAAAAGTCCCAACGAACAGGTACGAAGGAAGGAAGACATAACTGGAAAATGTCCCGAATTGAAAAGGTATTGCTAAGAATAACTTGGACTAAACGTATTGCCCATGCACATCCAGAAACCCCGGCAGCGATCTGAGCCAAGCGTGCCTAGAAATGGACAGCTCCGCGTTTCAGCACCGGACAGCTCCCGAAGAAATCCGATAGAAACAGTAGCGGAAATTCCGAAGCAAACCGAAGTAGCGCTGTCACTTTTGGAGCAATCAGGGACGACGTGAGCGTAAAAGTGAAGTTAAATACTAGCTTGGAAAAGTGGAAAAGTCCCAAAGACGTCGTTCAGAACAATACAGTAAGTGTCATCACAGTCCGGTAAATCTATTGCTCAAAAACAGCGCGGGGAAGACGAGATGAGCGTGCGTCCTAGCGGTTTTCCCCGTGTGTCTCGCGCCTCTCCTCTCTCCTCCTCGTGCCTCTGTGTCTGTCTGACGCTCGAGATCAGCTGTTGCGGTTTTATAGGCCACACACGCCGCGGAGAGAGAGAGAGAGGCGAGAGGAAGTGCCTCATTTTATTCATCAGAAAAGAGAGCAGCATCGTCTTGCGGGACCGGGAGAGACGCACGCCGATGGCCGGAGAGAAATAGAAAAGGTTTGGTTTAAGGGCACGCTTGCACTTATTATTATGAAGGGCTGCTGTATGCTCCAAACGCTACTAGACCCATACACTCATACAGGTACTCGACTGAATTAAGAAGAATATGCTCAGGCTGCAAATAAGATGTGCCAAAAATGGAAGAATAAATAGAAAATACACGAAAAGTCATGACACGTATTTGTTTCAATTAGGACACAAACTGGTACATGCATTCAGCTTTATTTTCTTAATTAACTTTTATTATTGGGCTATTTATTGGTGACACTCAAGAATAATTATTCTTAAAATGTCTTAATAAATGAACTGGAATGAACAAAGGCTTCTAACTTAAAGAAATATATATTATTAAGAATCATTCAGCCTAACTTCTAACCATAACTCTTTAATTAATTTTTGTTTCATTCACACATGTTAGAGTGAGTAATCCTGATTTATTAGTCTGTCTATATTTCCAAAGCTCAAAATACTCAGTTCCACCTTGTGATGTCATGTAGTGGTTTCAAGCTACAGCTCCTTTTACCTTTAGTTCAGTAGAAATTGGCAATTCCAAGGCTGAAATAATCCAAGTGATTCTAGTGACAGTGTATGGAGCACTTCTTGTATTACCACATGACATCACAAGGTGGAATAGTGTATTTACTGTTTGAGAGAGGAACTCAGCTTATATAATATGCAGGATTTGTGTGTTAAACATGTGTCCAGGTATATTTTTGACATCGAAACAACGTTATTAGCCAGGCTGGTGCCACCTAGTGCCTCCGCTCAAATTTCATTTCTTTCCAACAACTAGGTCAGGAATCGGAATACACTAGACAGTTTGCAAAAACCCCAGGAGTGTGAATTCGGGCACCAGCCAAGCAGGAACAAGCCATACATTCTGTGTTGCCAAAGATTCCCGAGATCAAAGATTTAAAGTCAGAACAAAGAAAATGTTTGGGGAATTTTATCAAGGGGAAAGATGTTATTGCCCTTCTTCCTATGAGATTTGGAGCATAACATACGTCACGACCAAATAGCAGTGATTGGTTAAATTAAAAAAGTACCCACCTACCATTGAGTGAAAGAATTCTAATGCTGCTAGGTCAGACGGTTTCCCCAAAGTGAAACTGGTTGATGAATCAGGCTACAACATTATAACATAGATCAGATTATGTTGATTATGATGTAAGTTTTTGCTCATATTTTATTTAGAACAGTTAAGATGTAGTTATTGCTATTCATGCATAGTGTAAATAGAATTATTATTACACTCATACAGTCTTCTCAGAGCCCCGTGGACCATCAAACCAACCGCTCCAGAGCAACTTCTTGTGTCAGTGAGTACAGGTCAATGCCTCCACACTGCAGTCAGCCAATTGAGCAGCTTTTATGCAAATGAGCTCCAGTCCCAGGCCAATAGGACCATGTGTGCGGACTCAGCCAGTGCCTTCATCTATTGTGTTACATGTCAAGATGCTTCTACTCATTGTTTTGTTTAAGAGGGGCTGACTGCGTGGCCGGGCGCAGTCCATTTGAGTCTATGACAGATTGTCCATTCACAAGGACAGTGTCAGTGATGTAATTCTGTGACGCGCTCGTTTATGTAAGATCTATTCACGACGTCTTTGGAGTTGGACTATTTTTACTCTTCGTTGATAAATCTTTGAGTGGGTTTCTCTTTTCCTAAGTGCACCGGAGTCTTCCTCTTATACTGTATAAGAGTCAGTGTTGCTCCAAGGCAGAGGCTGAAAGTTCGCAAAAATGATGGTGCAGTTTAAAGTGTCTTTCTGGATGTAGCTGGAGACCTGTAACAGTTTTACTAGAACCTATTGAACAAATTGTATCAAACTTTAGTGTAATTCTTGTGACACCACTGCAAACCATCTTCCTCTACAAACTGCAGCATGGGCTTTATGCCAGATTCCCTTCCTTGGAGCTTATATATTGATCTATCTGTTTACGTATGCATACATTTAAAGCCAATGTTAAAACACTGATAAGAAATACAAGTTTAAAGGGGCATTGAGTAACTTTTCTGCTAAATTCATTTACTTTTCTCCATGGACATGTTATTGCTTCATCTCAAATGTTTCACAGTATTGAATTAAACCTTCCTATGTTTGTGGAGACCAAACCAGATCAAGTTACAGGTCAGATCTGTGGAGAGGCAACCCCGCTCACAGGTATTTTTGAGCTCTAAAACCACCTGTAATTGAATAAATGTAAAGTAGAGCTGTTTAATGTTACACTGTGGAACATTCCAGGTAGACTAGTGTCATATCCTCCTGGAACCTGAAGAAAAAAGTGTATATTTGTATAAAGTGTGTATTTCTTTCTATTTGGAGGTAAATGAGCACCTTAATATTTAGATTTTGTTCATTTTATTTTTATTAATAATTTATAACATGTCTTCTGTAATGTACACCAGGAACATTTTGGTGTTAAATCTGTATGACGTTAACCTAACAATGGTGAACAAACATCTCTGACAAGCTTCTACAAGTTTTTTTTTGTTTTTGTTTTTTTGTTTGTTTGTTGTTGTTTTTTGTTATATTGCAGCCACAAACTAACCACTTTTGAGTTCATTTTTTATCCTGGACATGATAATCCCCCAGCCCTGTTTAGGCAGAGGAACCTAGTCCTCCCATTAAGAGTCTATCTCAAAACATTTAAAAGATGGACTGGTTAACTCAGTGTCAGCTATAAAGGACACAAATGAATGGGCCGGCTCTCAGGAGGATATATCTATAGAAACAAGCAGGTGACGGACCCACAACCAAAACTTTACGCAGAAGAAGCTGTTTTCCCATGTTCTTAAAATAAGCAGTGTGCATTAGCAGTGTGCATTTTCATCAGAATCTGCAGATAGGACTGTGCAATTCTATTTGTGATTTCAATTATTACCTTATTCAGTTACAAAAGTGTTATTTTAGAATCAAATGTGCGTTTGTTCTTCCTCTCGAAATCTGGAGCAAAGCCACTTTTCTTATCTACAAAGGCTTTTTAAAACTAAATATTCAGAAACTTCACAAACCTGATGTGGCTTGTTAGTACTTAGAGGATCGTTTTGACAGTATAGACATACGCATTTGTGTTAATCATAATTTTGAGTATGAGGCAAATAATTGTGATTATTATTTTTGCCATATCATAGCAGGAGCCTCCTTTGAGGGGCAGGTTAAAGGTGCAGTGTGCAGTTTTTCTGGTGGAGGGTTAGTTGCTTCCATGGAGATGTTTTTGCTTTGCCTGGAATGTTTCATGGTTTGACATTAACCATTTATTCATTACGGGTGTTTGTGTTGCCCAAAAATACAATAATTCCTTTTGTGGATAGAGGCGACTCTCCACAGATCTGACTTGTAATGTAGCATAGTGCTGTAACCTGCTTGTCTGTCTGTGGAACATTCTAGACCAGGCATGTCCAAAGTATGGCCCGGGGGCCAAATGCGGCCCTCAGACAAATTTTTCTTGGCCGTCAGACTTCGAGGTGAATTGGCACAAATTACCTTGCATTAATAAAAAATATATTTTTTTACTGCAAAGTTTTTGAAAATCTACCCTGATAAAGCTCATATTTAATATTTAGTGTTTGGTTTTAAGATTCTTGGCATGAATAAAGACTGATGGCTCATTCTAACGTGTTAAACATGCACATATTTCAATTATTCCCTGTATTGATCTACGGCCCTCGATAGGCCCTCTGCTTTGTCTGTGTTTTGATATGTGGCCCATGATGAAAGTTTGGACACCACTGTTCTAGACAAAGCAAATACATTTCCATGGAGACAAGCATGTGGCAAACCTGGACCTCCTTTAGAAGTGTTACGCAGTGCACCTTTAAGTATCTTTCTGGCTATAGTTAGAGACCTCTAGACACATACTCACACTATCAAACAAATTATGTGAAACTATAGTGTAATTTTATGACAACACAGCAAGCCAGCTATAAATTGCAGCATAGACTGGAGTGGCCTTTATGCCATATGCCCTTGCTTGCAGTCTCTTAATTTATCTTTTTATGTATGTGTTTATTTAAAGAAGAAATGCAAGTTTAAATGGCCCATATTGTGTTGTCTTTTCATCACAAACATACCTGGAGCTGTATTTTGCTTCATTCACACATGTTTAACACACAAACCCTGCATATTTAGCTTTTCTCTCAAACAGAAAACACACTGTTCCACCTTGTGATGTCATGTGGTAATACAGGAAGTGCTCCACTGTGTTTTTAAACTCCATACACCTTCACTAGAATAATTTAGATCACTCTCCACATACCTGAAATGTAATGCAG